AAACCACTGACAGTGCTCCGTACACTCCACCAGATTGTTCTCTGAGCCCATTTCCTGTTAAGTGCAGCAAGAACCACAGCAGGATGGTCTGGATTTGAGGTGCTCTCAGGAGGTGGGAGGGGTGTGAGGAACAGAAGCACAGGGGAGGGCTGAACCCCTGCCTCTGTCAGGACAACCACAGGCCTAGTCTTAAGGCTTGTCTACTCCAAGTTTGGAAATTATTGGAAAGATCCTCTTCCCTCTCCCAAATAGTATCATCCTAGGGAATCTCTGCTGTTTACAGAGTGTCCTCACTGCAGGGAAATTGGGAATCACTGGGTCATATCATTTCTAAGGGCCCGTGCAGTGTTTAATGCATTTACACCTAAAACCAAAGACCAGACACCTTGTGGCTGAGAGTGGGAATGAACTGATAAAATTACAAGTGGATCAGAGTTTATTAAGTGGTGAGGCAAAATAGACATATGCAACGCCCAAATGGAGGGGACTTGTCAGGGCTGGTGGGTGCTCCTGGGCCTGGAAATGAACTATGTGGAGCTTTCTTTCCTTTTTTTTTTTTTTTACTTTTATTTAGTTATTTTTCAAGTACAGTTTTTTGTCTATTTTTCCCATCCCAGCCTCCCCCGCCCCTTGCTCCCCACCTCCCTCCCATTTCCACCCCCCTTAGTTCTCGTCCCTGTGTCCTTCCTATTTGTTCCTCCAAATCCCTCCCCCATTTTCCCCTTAACTTCCCTTCCTTCTCCCCTCTGGTCACTATCCCTTGTTCTCTATTTCATCTTTCCTTTTTTAAAAAAAAGATTTTATTTATTTATCTTTAGAGGGGAAGGGGAGAGGGAGAAATATCAATGTATGGTTGCCTCTCGTGGGTCCCCTGCTGGGAACTGGCATGTTCCCTGACTGGGAGTCCAACCGCAATCCTTTGGTTCACAGGCCCACACTCAATCCACTGCGCTACACCAGCCAGGACTTAAGCGGAGCTTTCAAGGCCAGGCCACAGACGCAACCAAACCCAGCAAGATGGCTGCGACTGTGAAGCCCTGGGCGGCGATCTGGGTGCGCATTGTGAGTTGGGGTCGCTGCCTTTGTCTCTGGTGGAAGCAACATAAGTCGTAGGTGAGGGCGGCCGCCGTTCCCAGTAAGCCTGTGGAAGGGACAAGGCAGGTGGCGAGAATAACCGCTGAGATCCCTTGGAGCTTTGGGCCTTTCTTCCCCAGGTTCAGTATCTCAGAACAGTAGGGGTCGATCTAGGGGGTCGGCCCAGGTGGGAGGGGTTAGTTGATGCCGGATGTCTGGTGCCGAAAGTCTGGAAGGAATCTCTACTGCATCTCAGGCCAATTTACCTGGTCCAATCACGTTCACTCCTCACGCCAGTCTCCGCCTCTGACATTTTTCTGGTCCATTTCTCTTTCCGGCCCTCCTTGGCGTCACAGGTCCTCCCCTATTTCATTCCTCTCGCCATCAACGTTCTTGCGGTTTACAGTTCCTACAGCACTCGCTTGCGTGTTGATACTATTGGGTTTTCGCGTGTCTTGTGTTGGATCCTTTCCTGAAAGGTTCCCGTTCTGGAGCGTTCTTTCAGGGTCTTCGGTGGAGTCCACGCCTTCACATCTAGGCACCAGGGCGTTCTGCCCCACTGGCTCAGGTCTCACTATCTTGGCCTAGGTCCATGCATCTGCCCGAGGGGACAGCTTTGGGGTGATGCAGCTGCAAAACAAATGACCCAGTCGGCCGCCTCCAGGCAGAACACGAGGGTTTTCCCTTGCTTACATGCTATCGGCCTTTCTCCTGCCTTCCACTCCCCAAAGACCTTCCTTCCTTCCACCCCCTCTCGGGCTAAGAGGGAGCCTGAGAAAGCAGTTTGTGTGTGGAGGGGGAGGGGGGAGAAAACCGCGCCTCGCCTGCAGTATTCAGTTCAGGGGTGGCCTCTTCCCGAACCAGACCCCCGCTATCGGATGCCCACGCGGGAAGCAGTCGCCGAGCGTCACTCCCGCACCCTCGCGGAGTCTGGCTCCGGCAAGTAGACTTAGGGCAGAAGCCCAAGGAAACAGATGTGGTAGGTGACTCCCTGCAGCTCCATCCCTGCCGGCGACTCCGCCCACGCGGACAAGGCTTAAAGGGCCGCCAGGGCCCCCAGGTGCCGCACAGCCCCTCCCGCTCCCAGCCCAGGCCGCACCCATTTGGGGGCGGTGCGCCCGGGTCTATTTCTCCCGCGGCGGCCCTGCTTTAAGAGGGGGCGGGACTGCACGCGGCGGTTCTACGGAAGCCTGTGTTTCATCGGTGGTCGCGGTTCGCGGTTGCAGAGGCCGGGCACCGAACTCGGGGTATGTGCGGGAGTGGAGCGGAACGGCCCCGGGAAGCGCGTGCAGCAGCTCCCAACGGGTGCGACGCGGTCCAGGCGTGGGGAGATCTCTGGGGCGTTGCGGCTCCGTGGGGTGGCAGAGGGAGGTCGACCTGTGCCGGGGGCCCTTAGTCTCTCGCGGGGCCCAGCTCTAGCCGCAACCTACGCTGTTGTCCGTTCCAGCAGGAGTCGCGGGAGGCGGGGGATGAGCGGCGTAGATCTTGGTCCTCGGCGCTTTCCGTAGCACGGCCTAGGAGGCGGGCGCTTGGGGTCTGGGGACGGTGACAAAAGAAGGAGGGAAGCGGAGGGCCGTTGGAGCCGGGGAAGGTGGAGCGTGGGGTTTGGGCACCGTTGCCCCGAGGTGTTCCCGCTCGGCCGGGCCCTTCCTGGCCTGCGCGCAGGTACCTGGCCCGCCTGGCCCAGCGTGCGGAGCGAAGGTAGCGGCGAGGACAGCGCCCCCTCTGGTCCGGCGGCACCGCCTCGCGGTGCGGCGGCGGTGGCGGTGGCGGGCGGTGGGGCCATTTGCCCGAGTGCGGGTGCCGCACAGGCTCAGGCCTCTCCACCTGGGTCCGGACGCAGGGACTCCATCGAAGCCAGGCCTGAACCCTGGGCCTCCCGGGTCTTCGAGCTACTCCCCATCAGATAGGCGGGATGGGTCGTTTTCGCACCTTAGGCACCCCCACCCCTTCCGGGCCGGAAAGCTGAGCCAGGCCCCTGGGGACCCTGGGAAAGGGAAGAGTTGATGAGTCCGGTGGTAACGGAGGTCCGAGCCGTTAAGAAGTTTGGGGGCGACCAGAAATTTGCTAGGCAGGGAGAGGCCATGACCTAGAGTCTTGTGTGTCTGGAATGAAGATGGGAGTGTGAGACCTTCTGCGTTTGAAGGAGGGAGTGTGACCTGAAACAGGAAGCTTTAGTCTGGTCATCATCCAGCAGAGTGGACAGAATCCCTTCCTTTGGCCTCTTTTGGGTGTTTTCCTGCCTTGAGTCAGAGGAGTGGGACTTGTGGTGGGCTGTGTGTGCTAGGGTGGTGCAGCTGTGGGTGTCCTTTCTCCATCGGAGCAGCGCTTTTGAGGCTCTGGGAGAGTGGCCAGAAGGGGCTTTGTGGAGTCAGGGTGTGGGGGCAGAAGTGTGAGCTGCAAGGCAGTGTATTCAGTAGGGCAAAGCTTTACAAAGGTCTGCAGAAGAGTTATTGGTGTTTCTGTTAAAGAAAGAAAATCAAGTCAAGAAACTGTTAAGGCAGACTGGAGTAAGGTAGATAGATATAAGGAGGGTGGTTAAGCAGTTGCCCCAGTTGCTGCAGACCCTTTGTGAAGGCTTTTAAAATAACATCTAAGTTTCCCTCTGTTTTCCAGTCTGAAGTGGCGTTTTTCAGAGTGTGGTCAACAGCCTGTTTGTGACTCACAGAGTTGTTATTTTAGATCATTTATTCATTTAGTCAATGTGCATTTTTTGAATGCCTACCATATTCCAGCTGCAAACTATTTGCAGCTTCCTGGGGTGCTCACTGAACCACTGTCTCTGGGTTATGCTTGGAAATCCATCTCCGGCACCTGGTGATTTCATGCACATTGAAGTTGGAGAACAAGTGACCTAGGGCAGAATTGGCCAGGCCCCAGCCAGCCGACCAGATGCAGCCTGGTGCCTGTTTTTATACAGCCCTTGCACCAAGAGTGGTTTCTACATGTTTTAGGTGGTTGGGGAAAAGTCAAAAGAAAAGTAATGTTTCATGACACTGGAGAATTATATGAAGTTGAAATTTCAGTGTCCAGAAGTAAAGTTGTATTGGGTCATAGCTACTGTTCATTTATGTGGTGTCTGGCTGAGTAGTTGTGATAGAATTCATGGCCACAAAGCCTAAAATATTTATTACCTATCTCTGTTTTTACAGATAGAATATGAAGAACGTAGTTGACCCCTGGCCTAGTGAAAGAAGGAAATACAGAAGGAAAGAAAAGCATTTGTCTAGAAATACCATGTTTAGAAATTAATAGGTAAAATGGATTTAGGTAAATTTTAATTTTTAAAAGGCAGAGGGAATAGCATATTCTGGATTAATGGAAAAATATTTAGATAAATGCAGGCATTTATTTAGGTAGGGTTTTTGTAGAGATTGTGAGCTTGTGCCCTTAATAAATTGGCTAATTTAGCCCTGGCTGGTGAGGCTCAATGGATTCAGCACTGGCCTGAGAACCAAAGGGTTGCTGGTTTGATCCCTAGTCAGGGCACACGCCTGGGTTGTGGGCCAGGTCCCCAGTACAGGGTGTGCGAGAGGTGACCACACATTGATGTTTCTCTCCCTCTCTTTCTCCCTTCTCCTCTCTAAAAATAAATAAATCTTAAAAATAATAAATTGGCTAATTTATACATTTCTTTTCATAGGCTGGGTGAACTCATGGACCTGATACTTTTCTCTTGAGAAGTAAACTGGATTAGAAGAAAAATGGCATTTGTTGCAACACAAGGGGCCACGGTGGTTGACCAAACCACTCTGATGAAAAAATACCTTCAGTTTGTGGCAGCTCTCACTGATGTAAATACCCGTGAGTTGATCCTTTTTTTGTCATTAAGAAATGCATTAACGTGACTCGTGCATCTCAGTTTCAAGACGTGGAGATAAATAGGAATATTAACTTTATCCTGATTTCCTCTTTCCCTGCCTTGTGGAGAAGCAGAGTGATGAGCATTACTGGCTGGAGCACCAAAGAGGCACAAGTGTGTGCGTGGGTGCATGTGTGAGTTTCTCTGTCTGGGTCTGTGCGTGCACACGTATGTCTGGGAGTGTGAATGTGTGTGACTGGCTGTAGGGAACTAGCCGTGTGCCTTCTGTGGGGCCATGACAGTCAAACTGATAAGATCTGATTGCTTCTCATATTCAATCCAGTAATTTTAGGAACATCCTTGACGTAATTGCAATGACCTGATGATTTGTTTTGTCATTTTACAGCTGATGAAACCAAGTTAAAAATGATGCAAGAAGTTAGTGAAAATTTTGAGGTATGATCTTTATATTATATGCTTTTCATTTTGAGGTAAATACTCTCATGAGCTTTCCTGTTGCTTTTCTGTCAATCTTTCACTAGTTACTCCAAAAATATTTCTGTCAATGTAATTTATTGTATTTTAAAATTGAAACCTGAAAGTTTTTACACTGTGTTGTCCAACTTTTTCATACTGTTGATAGTTGCTTTGGTTTTGGTTGTTTAACATTTTTTAAATTTATAAAAAGAACCTACTTTTAGAGAAAGGGGAAGGGAGGGAGAAAGAAAGGGAGGGAAACATCCATGTGAGAGATACATGGATTGGTTGCTGATTAGTTGTGATCCATACCCCAGGCAGGTACCCTGACTGGGGATCTTAACTGGAGACCTTTTGGTTCTCAGGTTGGCATTCAATCAATCCACTGAGCCACACCAGCCAGGGCCACTTTTTAATTTTTAAATGTGGTAACTTTTTAGGTATATACTGTGTTTTGCTGTGTATAATGTGCACCCACATTTTTGGCCCAGACTTTCAGGAAAAAAATCTTTCATTTTAACTTTTTAATTAATTAATTTATTTCTTTATATTTAGAAATAAAATCAATTATCACATTCCAGAGTAGTATTTTGCATATGGGTATTGTAATTGCTTTCTTGCTTTCATCTTCTTTTTGATTATTTGAGCCAGGGCAGGTTCATTTTTCAGTTTTTTTCCTTCTTTAAATTAAAACAATTTTTTTTACTGATTTTTTTTTTCTTTTTAAGATTTTATTTTATTTTTCGACAGGGGAAGGGAGGTGGAAAGAGAGGGAGAGAGCCCTGGCTGTGGCTCAGTGGATTGAGTGCCTGCCTGTGAACCAAGGGCTCGCTGGTTCGAGTCCCAGTCAGGGCAATGCCTGGGTTGCGGGCCAGGTCCCGGGTGGCGGGTATGTGGGGGGCAACCGCACACTGATGTTTCTCTCCCTCTCTCTCTCCTTTCCCCTCTGTCTAAAAATAAGTAAATAAAAAGTATTTTAAAAAAAGAGGGAGAGAAACATAAATGTGTGGTAATGTCACACCCCCCACTGGGTATCTGACCTGTAACCCAGGCATGTGCCCTGACTGGGAATCGAACCAGCGACTGTTTAGTTCGCAGTCTGGTGCTCAATCCACTGAACTACACCAGCCATGGTAACTGAATTTTTTTCTGTTTTGTGTTTAGTGTGACCTGCTGTCAGATTCATTGCCTAATTTTCAGCCATCTCCAGTCTGCTGGGATGTTATTTTTAAAATTCAACTTACATATATTTAGTTTTTGCATTTTAAAACTTTGTTGTAGTTTCAGTTACAGAATTTCCATTTGGCTCTTTTTTTTTTTAAAGATTTTATTTATTTATCTTTAGAGGGGAAGGAAAGGAGAGAGGGAGAGAAACATCAATGTATGGTTGCCTTTTTGCGTGTCCCCTGCTGGGAACTGGCCTGCAGGGAACCGGCCTGCAACCCAGGCATGTGCCCTGACTGCCATTTGGCTCTTGATATATTACACTTCTCTGCAGGTTTCCTGTGTATATCTATTAGGACCATATTTTCCTTTCATTCTTGAACGTGTTTGTAATGGCTGCTGTAAAGTTAAGTTAGGCACAGCATCGGTGCACTGTGAAGTTGGTTTCTGTCGGCTGTGGGTGGGGCCCACTCCTGCTGGTTTGCGTGGCTAGTGGTTTTGGTTGTGTAGTGGACGTTGCGTGTGAACTCAGGGACTCCATTCTGTTACTTCCCTTTGAAGAGTGTTGATATTTTTATTGTAGTTGGCGGTCTGGTTGCTGGCTAATCTTGGTTTTATGCTGTGGTAGGAAGGATCTGTGGGAAGCCCAAGGTGTTAAGCAAGAGGCTGAATTTAGGTAGGATGTGTTGTAAGGAGTCCTCAATAGTCCTTACTCTAGGAAATTGTCCTTCTTCAGCTGGCTGCCTGGGGTGTTACTGAGGTGTTAAGGTGTGGCTAGGTTGGACCCAGCACCGTCTAATTTTGCCAGAACTCTGGTGTCTCTGGTCATCTCTTAGCCCCAGAGCTGCCAGTGTGCGTTAAGCCTCAGGTAGTCTTACCCTACCTTACCTTACATGTAGCTCAGCCCTCATCAGTCAAGGTCTCAGGGATACATGGCAGACCATACTCACCCTCATTCTGCAGCTCCTTTTCCTCCGGGGCTCTGCCTGCAGGTTTGCTCTCTGGTACATGTTCTGCAGAACCACCACCATCTCTTTGGGCCCCAGCCTGCTGAGCCCAGGTTGGGAGATCGGACCTCGGCAGAGAAGCAAGGTGATCGTGGGCTCAGCTTGTGAGTTCTCCTTCTCTTGGAGGTCACAGTCTTCCACTGCCTCTTGTCTAGCACCTGAAAATTGTTCTCTGGAGTTTTGTGAACTGTATAGTTAACATGGTGCCGTTTAGTCTCCTAGGCAGATTCGACAGTCACATGTCTTATTTTTAATGTGGGAATTATAAAACCTTTCTCGATATGATTAAGAACAATAGGTAAAATATTTCCCAGCCTCTGGCATAGTCATTTGAATTAGTAAACATTAAATAAATGCTAGTGGGATTCAACCAGATACCCTAGTATCTGTAGTAATGGACAGTATTCTCATTAAAAAAAAAGATTTTATTTATTTAGTTTTAGAGAGAGGAGAAGGGAGGGAGAAAAACCACAGTGTGGGAGAGATACAGTGATCAGTTACCTCTCACGCCCCCAACTGGGGACCTGGCCAGCAACCTAGGCAGGTGCCCTGACTGAGAATCAAACCAGTGACCTTTTGATTTGTAGGTGGGTGGGGTGCTCAGTTGACTGAGCCACAGCAGCCAGGGCTTATTTTCTTTTTTTTTAAATAGTTGTTTTCAAAGACTTTTAAATAGTTGTTTTGAAAGACTTGCTGACTTAAACTGAGCTAGAAAAAAAAATCCTCAGATATTTAGAGATTAAGCTGTAGAGTTTCTCTTTTGCCCAAGCTGCTAATGCAAATTTGTTAAACACACACAAAAAAACGAAACAAGAAAAAAGAGGTGGGGTGTAGAAAAAGATAGCCCTGCATTCTGCGTTTTTTTAAAATAGATTATTCATTTGAGAGAGAGAGAAACTTTGATTTTTGAGTCTTATGTGTCCATGCATTTATTACTCGATTCTTTCATATGCCCTGACTGAGGGTAGAACCTGCACACTTGGCCTCTCAGGACAACGTGCTGACTGACGGAGATTCCTGCTGGGCTGCATTCCATGTTTTACCTGCAGGAAGAACCTGTAGTAGGGAACCAGAGCCCTGATGGGGCTAAGGGCCATGGGAGAGGCACGGGGCTCTCAGAGTCGAGTGTCTGACAGTCAGCACGTTAGTTCCTGGCTTTGGTCTCAGATGTATTGATTAAATTAGCAGAATTAGAAGTTACTGAAGCAGGATACTTGGGCTTTTCCAAAAAGTGACTTTTGAAATCTGTACGGCATAGACATTTACCTTAAATTCAGATGACGAAGTCCCTCAAAGAATTAAATACTGGAATGGCCATCACTAGGTGATTTTAAATTACCATTGTTACCATCCTGGAAAAAACATTTAAATGAAGTGAGTGAAACTGAAACAAAATACTGATGATTTCAGGAGTCTTAGAAATTCATTTCACTAAACACTCTGATTAAGATTTTAGGCTGAGTAAATATCATATGGGCCACCTTTTAGGACAGGAAATAGGAAACCGTTGCGTTAGAAGTCACTGAAAATTTTGCATGGATCAAAAAGTTCAGGGCTGAGTTAAAATACTGGCAGGTTAACTGGACAGTTCGTTCAATGTGTCATCTTCACGGGGGAGTTTGGTGCTCAGGTGTGTTGAAGGCTGTGGAATCCTGGGTTGGCAGGGCTGCTGTGCAGGTGAGCCTGGTTCCTGGACGACCCTGATGGTATTTCAGTGCGAGGCTTCTCCCTGTCCCCTAAGTCCTTGAGTGTGTTTTGTAAGGTTTTAGGCTTTGGCAATAAAAGGTGATGAGCAGTTTTTAAAAATATTTTTTTATTTTTCTGTTATAGTTGCCATGCAATATTATATTAGTTTCAGGTATATAACATCGTGATTGGGCATTTATATAATTTACCAAGTGATCACCCCAGTAAGTCTAGTACCCATTGGGTATCACACAGTTATCACAGTATTATTATGTTTCTTACGCTGTACTCTACATCCCCGTGACTGCTTTTATAACTGGCAGTTCATACATCTTAATACTGTTTCTTTTTTCACCTGTCCTCCTAACCCACTTCCATCTGGCAACCATTAACATATTCTCTGTATCTATGAGTTTGTTTTATTTGTGGGTTTAATTTATTTTCTAGATTCCATGTACAAGTGAAGTCATGTGGTATATGTCTTTCTGTTTCTGCTTATTTCACTTAGCATAATACCCTCTAGGTCCATCCATGTTGTTGCAGATGGCGAGATTTCTTTGTTTCTTTCTTCTTTTTTATGGCTGAGTAATATTCCATTGCAGATGTGTACCACAACTGTATCAGATTGCTTCCAAATTTTGGCTATTGGAAATGATGCTGCAATGAACTTTTTGGTCTAGTGTTTTGGGTTTTATTGGGTAAATACCCAGAAGTAGAATTGCAGAGTCCTTCTTTGTCTCTTGTTGTAGTCTTTGTTTCAAAATCTATTTTGTCTGATAGTAAATATTGCTACTCATCTTTTGCTTGTTTACATTTTCATGAAATATATTTTTCTTTTTAAAATTATTTTTACTGTTTATGCTACTACAGTTGTCCCAGTGTTTCCCCATTTACTCCCTTCAGGGAGTCCCCACACTGTTGTTCAGGTCATGGGTCATGCCTGTAAGTTCTGTGGCTATTTCCTGTGCTGTACTTTACATCCCCATGGCTATTC